CATTTATATTTACAGGAATTAAAGAAAATCTTTTTATTTTATCATCATTTGATCTTTTCACAGTTTAAAAATCATTTAGAGATGACAACAAGCAGCTGTGGTGTTTATTGGTTTTTAGCTTTTATGATGTGAATTATTCTGTAGAAACACCAAACATCAGCTGACATGTGATGATGTCACACTTTGGGCTCATTTGTCATGTTTTTATTTTGTTTTATTTTGTAGACTGTATTCATTTCTTTAAATAATGGAAACAGTTGTGCTAGTTTTAGCTTCTAGCTACAGTTGTGCTAGTTTTAGCTTGTAGCTACAGTTTAGCTGAAGTTCTCAGCTTTCCTCTGTTGCGTTTTTGCTTCATAACTTTGTAAGTTTGCAGTAAATCTCGTGTTTTTGTGAATCCTTCCAACAGAACTCGTCTGAATGATTTATTCAGCAGATTCTGCACAGAAACAGGAGGTTCTGGTGACGACATCAGATTTACAAAGCTGAGTCATGTCTCAGAGTTACAGCTGCTGAAACTATTGTTTCAAGTGTTCTTTAAGGTTGTGATCAGGTGGTGCTGCAGCACCCTCAGCACCCATACTTCCTGCAGCAGTGTGACACAAACGTCAGAAGTTGCTTCAAAATCTGTCTTGAGTTCATAAAAACAGATTTTAACAGACTGACTCTTTATTTTTCCCACTGTTTGTTATTAAATATGTGCATTAAAATGATAATTTAATAATAAAAGATGCATTATTTACTAATAAAGTTATATTGTAATTATCATTCAGCAGTTTTTAATAGTAAGAAAGTATTTGTATTTCAGTGTGTTGTTATTATTTCTGTGTTTTACAGTGAACCAGTGATGTTCAGCTCAGATGATGAGTCTCATGTCGTCTCATATTAATGTTTGTGTGTCTTCCTGACTTTGTGCAGCAGGACTGTGATTTGTGAGGAAACATGCAGAAAGTGTGAAGCAGTGAGGAGAAACTTGTTCATCAATAATAAAACACTCATGTGGACCTTGAAGGAACTTGATTTGTTTCTGTGTTTTTGACTTCCTGTTCAGCTGATTCAGGATTTACCAGCTTGTTGTTAATCTTTATGAGCAGCGGCCTCACTGAGCTCCGCTGTGCTTGTTAATCGTTACGGCGTAAAGCAAAGTGAAAGAAAAAGGTCGATTTAAGCAAAGCGTGTAAAAAGAACTGGCTGTGGTAATAAAGTGACTGATGGGATCTGTCTCCTCCAAACAGCCAGGAATTCAGAGGAAATGAATTTTTATGACGAAGCACAAAACACCTCAGGGTCTGCTCTGCACCTTCTAATCTGTTCCTGTGTGTGTGTGTGTGTGTGTGTGTGTGTGTGTGTGTG